AACAATGGTGATTTACAGCCCTGCCAAATTAAACTATCACAGAATATAAATTCTACTTAAATCCACTTTATTCAAAACAAAATCTGTCACCTATTTTTTCAAAACATTTCACAATCCTCTCCAATACAAATAATGTTCAGGTCAGTTGAATTACAACACCATTTTCAATATAAGAGCATCTAAATAAAAAACACTGTCTTCCACATAGCTATTAAGTTTACCACTTTCTCAATTGCCACTATGTAACGTCATTTTTTTCCAATATGATTGTACTCTCTCAACTAGTTTATCCAAAACACCTTTTCTCCAACATTCTTCATATTCTGTTGACTTGCTTACAGACTAATACTCTATCTTACCTTTAGGACTATGTGTGCAGTTGTTTTGTCTCTTTTTCTACAGTACTTCTACAGCTCTACCTTTTATACGTTAAAAAGCCTTCTTTCACATAATATACCAGAAACCCTATTCTATCTTATGCTTTGGCTGTTCATGGAATCTTTTTCACTAGTTTCTCTAAATTGTTATTTTCCACTTTACTGTTTCACATTGCTTGCACTTGTGTGTAAAATATGATTTCTTGTGTGTAAAATATGATTTCTTACGGTGCAAACATAGGAAACCTCAGTTAGTTTCCAGAATTCCTTTGTCAGTTACCCAAAATTCAAAATTGTAAACCTGTCCAAAAAATATTATTGAAAACACTCTGATCCCACATAAGTATTCTTGCAATCTGAGTTATGATTCCATGAAAAACGTACAGGAATATCCAGAGATAGTTGAGAATCAGTCTCTAAGGTTCTGTGTGGGTTTAGGGGTGCTATTTCTTTCATTATAATGGTAAAGGTTTTTAATTAAGAAGTTGCTAAGTCCATTTTTTGGTCAGTCTTACACCAATCAAAACAAAAAGCTGCATGACTGAAGATAATTATAAACAGATGCACAGCTATCATGTGTTGGGTTAATAACATGCCAATGTTATGTCTCATGCAAGCCTCGAGTTCACAATGATCCTGAAGGCCCTCTGTTTCATGGTTACTGTTTTGTCAAAATATACTAATGAACAAGATTATAAGAATTTCTCGTACCTCTTCTGGGAAGAAATCCAAAGAAACCTTGTGATTACTGTCAGTAAAAATAAGTGTATGTGCATCAATCTGAGTATGTAGTTGCACAAGGAGACAACTTCAAAAATAATTCTCATTTTCTGCCCAGCATGCTGCCTCTATTTATAGCATTACTGTAGTTTGCTGTTTTTCCAAATTATTACATATTCTACCTACATTACTAAAAAAATTAAGTGATGCTCAATTTGCCCTTTCTTCTTGGCCACAATATACCTCTGAAACATACATACAGATAAATTTGTAAACAGATTATTCAGATAAGAAAATTCTATTCACCATTACTGTTTTGTGTCACTGAAATACACCCCCTACTTCAGCTGCTTTTCAGATGACTAACGCCAGGCTCCTGTAGGATACCTGTATCTGGCATACAACCCCTCTGACAGCTGTCACACAGCTCTGTACATGGCTTGCATGCCACTCCGGACAAGATCTAACAAACCTTTAGGTTTTTTTCAGCATACCTTAACTTTTCCTTCCTCAAGCTGAGCTTGCCGAAATCTTGCCAAGGCCGTCCTAAAGAAAAGAAAGGAAGTAGATTTACTTTCACAAATCTACATTCCAACAGAAACAAGTTTTCCTCTGAATGTTTATTACTGACTTAATTACAGTCTATAGAAAACAAGGGCTTGAACATGCTCATTGGCTAGCTCTTCCAGCTAGCGACTTGATCGACACTAGCAATCCTCAATGGTTAATTTCTTAAATAAAGATAAATCCTGGTAAGCAGCTAATTATTTTTTCAGTTTAGCATATGCTAGCATGTTAGATATTAGCAGCAAAAGGATGTCAACAAGTTATAAGCACAAGCATTAAGTTTACGTATCTTATCTAGGGATACATCAAAAAGCAAACAAGAAACTCAAGAGAAAAATAAAGCTTCAGTAAGGAAAGCAGCAGTTAGTAACCAATTTATTGATATTACCGGAATATTCCAGGTCTCTCACAAGTAAGCAGAGACTGCACACACTATAATTTAATACAGTTTTACTTATTTACTAGACATTCACAGTTACATTAAAACGCACAAAACAGTTGAGTGCATTTAATACCTTTAACAGCATACCTATACCCTACATCTAAGTCAATTATCTTAAGCTCCACCTGCTATTAAGAGGCATTTCCAGAACAAAAATCACACCATCCAATCTAGTGTCCCAGACGCACTGGATGGGATCACTGTGAGACTGCACCTCACCAGCTATTAGACAGCTGTAATCTCTTCAGCTTCTCCTTGAATTACAAGCATTTTAGGTAAAAGAACAAACATGAGAGAAATATACTGAAAAGCCTCTAATATGGCAGTTTGAAATACATGGTCTGCAAACCTTTTTGAAAAATAGTCAATAAAGTCAATACAAAAATAAGTATTTAAAACCCATTGGTTTAACCCAAGTCATTCCCAAGCAAGAATTAGACTTAAACCAATGTTAACCGATTCCTATCTAGCCTGTTCCAAAAGCAGGAACTGCCTATAATGCTCTAAGAGGCCATTAGCACCTATTTCAGGCCTTGCTGAAGCTCCTCTCCTGCCTGCCCAGCGCTGCCCAGTGCAGCCCCGCCAGCCCCACAGCCCTGGTGTACGGGCACCTGACAGCCCTCCTACTCCCACCGGCTCGGGACCAGCATCACATCCGCGAGTAAGTATCGAAACACATTATTAAACTCCAAAGCGCTTTTCAAAAGGCTGCACAGTGAGTCCCGCTGGGTAAGCACGGCTCTGTGGGAGTGAGCCACGGCACAGAGGGTGCAGATGTCTCTGAAACCAAATCCAGCCGGAGCCTCAGACACGTGGGGCTGCCTAACACAGGAGCAGGATCGCGCTGCTCCAGAAGGCACACCAGATAACGCCGATGGATCTCGGGGACCCGCACGGCTGGACGGTCTCTGCCCTACGGCCCGAGCAAGCGGAACTTGTACTGCAGTGCCCGCCCAGGGGTCTGAGCGCAGGCAGCGGCCCGCCCCAGGCGGGAGCCCCAGGCCCCCCAGCCGTACTTACATGGCCTTTTCCGCGTTTCGAGCCTGAAAAAGAGAAAACAAACGCCATGTTACTGACCGCTCGGCAGTTACTCTTATATATTCTTAGTTTCTACACTCAAAAATGGAAAAGGACTTTTTTGCAGGCATTTCATACATCACATTCAAGACTTCCTGCCCAGCAACAGCATTACAAGACATGGATTTAGAAAGGTTGGCACACAGACCAGATCCCTCTTTATTCACACCATCCCTACAGATGGATTCCCACAGCATCTGAAACCCACACAATGAGCCTGGCTACCTCTAACTGCCGGCAGGTTCTCCCAATGTCCAGCCTTACACAGCCCACAGCCTCCTCGTTTTACTGTGCACACCTTGCACACCATTGTCAGTGCAATTGCATCAATCCTTTGCAGTTGGTCTAGAAAACAAACTGGCAAGACTGGTTTTCAGTAAGAATTTAGTCAATGGCTCCCGATTATTTTATTAAATTTCCCCTTCCAGAAAATGCTAACCCTTCAGAGAGCCCTGTCTGTAGAAAATAATATATTACACATTTATCTCTCTGCCTTCCTGATTCACATAATCCACCAGATCTATGGAAACCACTACACTGGTGTTTGTCATGGGACCAGTCTTCAAGACCAACAAGGATCCTTCAGTGTTATTGAAAAAGATTAACACGGAACAAATTAAATTTTAGGTTTGATTTTTCCAAGTCCCCACAATTTTCAAAGTCACCATCTGCTTGTTCATCTTGTTAAGTTTGAAACAACCAACACATTTGAAGTAGCAGCATCAATATTCTAAACTGTTCTCTATAGAAAGATGACTAGGAAGAGATACCTTAGTTGGATTTTCTCCTTTTTGAAGTTACATCCTAGCTTGTATTTCTCAGCTTTCAAATCACATTTTGTCAAAAAAGAAACCACCTCAGAGGAAAACACTACTTTTCAGGCACACAAAAATTACACAGTGACAATAAAGCAGTTAAGTACCAGAGTCCTAAGGAGCAGTAGCTGCATGATCTTCATGAGGAACCTTAATCACCAAGTTCTGCAGGAATAGAAAAGTAGACTATAGACGTCACCCGCACTGCAGGTCTTTGACACAGCATTTTTTAGCTACAGGTTAATTCTCAAAGATTTTCAGGTCTTCGTAATCACAGACCTTCAAGCTTTATTACTGTTTAACTAAGATAATTATATGTAAAGATTCAGTTAATTCATACTAACCTACCACAAGGCTGAGCAAAACTATGCTATGACTAGGCTATCTGTACTACCCCAAGACAGCCCACTCATTTCAAGTGTGGATTTACAAGGGGTTTGGTAACCACGTTTAAGACTCAAAAGTACACTCATGCTCAAATAGCAGCTATTAAAAAATAAATGCCCAAACACACACACCCCCATTCAAAAAACCCACAGAACTCAGGCAAGCACCTCTTCCCCACCCCTTAGTTCCGCAAGAGCTGAAAGGCTTTGTTCTTCAGCAAATACGTTGGACAAAAGGCATCCTGCCAAAGAATTGCAACCAATTATAACAGCAGTCACCATCTCATTTTGGTTTTACGCTGTAGAACCTGCCTCCTTCATCTTTGTCACACTGACCACACAGAAGCAAATACTTGGGGTTTTTTTCCTGCTTAGGCAAAGCAGTACAAGAATGTTTCCTCATTAAGTGCTTCAGAGAGTCTTCTTCCAACAGTCCGTTTCCTTCTCTCTGCAGCAATACCAGCTCGGCCTAAAACCTGCTCAGGTTGGCTCCTGCCAGCCAAGCAATCTGGGCTCCAGCCACCTTGTACTTCATATTCTAAGAATCTTCTTTCTCTTCCCAAACTATGACTCAACATCTTCCACACACTTTGAACATTAAACCCAGGCTGAAAACTTCAGTTCTTTATAAATCTTTATTTCGTTAAACGTTAAGGAACTCTAAATTGCTACGGCAGCCCACTGCAAAACAGCAACAATCCGATCAGTTCACCTGATGCGACACAGCAGCTATAACCCATCACAATTTTCTTGGAGAGACACATTTTAGATAGCAGATTTCCTGAAACAACCCGAAAATTTATCAGGTAATACATCTGCTTTTGCAGTTTCAAACACTCCCAGGTCAGACTCCTCATTGGGAACTTCATCAGCCAAGTTCTTAGTGGTCTTCTGTAAGCCTCACTCACGTGCTATAGACTGCTGACAGGCATAGGCTTAAGTTATTCCTGGAAGACCACAACCTTCAGGGGCATTATTGCATGGCCGTGTCATGTTTAACATTTTATTTTGGAAGCAAGGCTAATGCAATACTTAACTGGTCAGTGATAACACAGATCTAGAAGCCAAGAAATTGTGCCAATTTAGTTTTCCTCTAGCATAGCTGTACATTATCAGTCTGGTACTTCTCTCTTGAGATCCACACACAACTGTCCCAACATCACAGGCATTTTTACCTCTATAGCATACATAGCCCATGACAGACACTCTGGGACTTGAAAGCCTTTAGTTTGTGTGTGAATATGCAAGCACAAGCTGACTGCAGTACACTATTGCTGAACAGAACAGGCAAATGCCACGCAAGCTCCTGCAGCTCCTGGGTAGCCCAAAGCTTGGGAGCCCCAGCTGGAGCTGCCCTGAGCAGCAGCAGTTCAAGACGTACCTTCTGAAACTGCCCTTATGGGGATGCACAGAGCAGTCAAGAGCGCCTGCCCTTGGTTTTCTTCCACATCAAGACTTTGCACACTCCGCATCAGCTCACTTTTCATCTGTGTAACTGTTTACTAACCCTTGGTCAATCAAAGTAGAACACATAGACTGGGGAAGGCCTGTAACACTAGTGTTGGAAATGGGAGTTGCTAGTGCCATGGCACTTGCGAAGGCTGAAGGAGTGCTAGCAGACCATCACACTACTCCAGATTTGGAACTCGCTGTACCTTCAACAGCTTTTGTGCCTTCAAAGCTTTTTAAAGAAATGCTTTAACTGCATCAGCATAGATGAAACAAGCCCACTCTGAGACCACACAATCCATTCACATGAACTTATGCAGATACAGAGTCTGGGAGGACTGTGTACTTCACACCTTTGCAGTATGATGCTACCAGATGAAAACTTAACATAAGACAGTACAAAAGAAAAGTCAAAACTAAACTTTTTACACCTCCACATACCCCTTTTTAATATGTTATTTTGCACTGTGTACATGAAAACCAAAAATAAACAGAAGAACTTTAGCCAAACTCCCCTTCCTCCTCCAGCTTTATTGATAGTTTAAAATTACATTTTCTATGTTCTAGGACTTCAATTGCTTTTACCATCTTACTTTAAAAACTGATTACAAGCAAATGAAACTCAGTTGTCTAAGTGATATAGTATACAAAAATAACATCTTGATTTCTGTGAAAATGCATTTATTTGAAACTCCTGAATAGCTCCAAATTGTATGCGCTATGAGCACTGATGTCTGGGTTTCAGATTTACTTTGAAATATTTATTCAAAAGCTTCCCATTACGTTCTGTATCTCCAACATGAACATTCACTGACTGAATTACTGTTACTTTTAAGTTTATTTCCGATTTCTCTCTCTCTCTCTCATGGCCATTAACAGGCATGTGCATCTTTTTTGTTTACTCCCACTCAGCTATATGCTCTAGGTAGGGCCTGATACAGATATTACTTGGTGTTAACAGCTACTGAGGTCAGACAATCCAAGGCCATTGTAATAAAATTAAAGTTATGAGGAAGTTTAGACACTTCCAGAATTTCTTTCCTCCTGCATAGGATCACTTCCATGTAACCCAGAGAGGGCTTTGCTGGTCTGACTCAACTCTTCCCACTCATCAATCCCTATTCACCAGTGGCACGGAAAGGGGGTTCTTTAACAAAGCATTATACATAACACCTCTACCAAACTAAACATAAACATTTTTGTAGTTAAATGCAGAAAGTTGATTTTTTCCACCCCTTTCCTCCTTTTACACGGCAAGTAAAGCTCACTGGCCTGGGAGTAGCCTCTATCTGCCAACCTTTGGCCAGTGAAGAGGATTCAGAGAAAAATAATACAACCATCAATCAGAAAAAGGAGGGGCGACAAAGGAAAATAATTAGGCTGTAGCTTCAATTGTGCATTCCCGTGCAAGGTGCCCTGACTCGCCGCAGCGATAGCAGTTGACTTCACTGGTCTTGCTGCAGTTGATGGCTACATGGCCAGTTTCACCACACCTGGAAAAATCAAATGATTTTATCAAACCATACAGAACAGTTACTCAGAAAAGAATCTTAATCTGTCAGGTACATTATCTACTTAAGTTTCATGCAACACTATTTCTGCATTCAAGACTTCTGCTTCAGTGTTCCAGACTTGACATGAGGCAAGTTTCTGTCTTTACCAGAGCCAGGAATGTTTCCCAGCTGATCAACTCACATTAATCACCATATGTGCCAAAACCACCAGACATAAAATACAGAAGTTCTGTGTTGTTGGGGCTTTGTTTTGGGTTTGGTGGGATTTTTTTGTGTGCGTTTGGGTTGTTTGTTTGTTCCCTCCCATGTGTCACTTTTTGCCTGCTCTGATGCTTCTGTCTGCAGTTCAGCCTTGTTTTGAGAGTAATTTATCTCAAATGCACCATATCCTCTCTCCTTGCTCCACAGGAGGGAACCTTGGTGGGGGTGAAGAATACTGCACTCGGGAACAAACTGTTTCTGGTATAGGCCTGCATTCAAAAACCAGACAGCATTTGGAAGCTGGCATTTCAAGCAGAGTTAACATCCACTTCTGTGTGCAGTTCCTATAACCAAGATGTCTTAAGTATATTCCTGCTGGGGCTGGCTGTGCCAGTCAGCTGATTTGTACAGCTGGAGTCTGTTAGTTCCAGCGTAAGATACAGTGTACTCAACTCTAGTTTAAGTTTGTGCTACAGGCAAGCGCACTTCTGTTACGTTCTGCAAAAAGATACAGCCGTTTCTCCTGTACAGCTTAAGCAATGCAACATCTGTATTGCCCTGGCCATCTGGATACATGCATCAAATCTATGACTTGCCCCTGCTTGCAGGTGTTTAGGTCTTAGTTTTGACAAGCAGCAACTATTCAGAGAAACAAGCTACATGGTCAAAGTTTAAGCTTCACTTCCTAACCAAAATCAGGTAAGAGAATGCATCTTATCACTTAATGTACATTTTGCAGTTGTCTCCTGCCAGTTCTTACCTATAGCATTTCACTTTGGTGCAGTCTTTTTGAATGTGTCCAAACTCTCCACAAGAATAGCACTTCTGCTCATCTGCGTGGTCACAGTCACGAGCCAGATGGCCAGGTTTGCCACAGTTGTAGCAGCACTGCTCTCTCTCCCTCTTCGGCTCCTTGCAGTCCTTCGCAATATGGCCACCTCTACCGCAGTTATAGCAGGCTTCCACAATAAAAACATACCAAACAAGACTATAAAACCTTGGTAGAGCAAGATGTAGCATGCTTCTAATGAAGGACACATACAGCTTGTCTCCACTGAATTACGATCAGTGCGCTGTATCCTTCTCTTCAACCACAGATGCTTGTCCGTGTGATTGAAGAGATAGAATATTTAGTGATACTTACCATCCTCCTGAAGATCACAGTCCTTGGCAAGATGGCCAGACTCACCACAGCGGTAACAGATGTCCGGGAGAGATGAAGACATGAACTGGAAGCCTGCTTGAGATGGGTAACAGAAGAAAAAAGGCTTAATCCTTATGTCAAGAATATTCATAAGAGTTAATCAAGGACACTGACAGCTGAATTGACAAGTTAACTAACTTCACTCTCAGAGGCCCCAGGCAAAATTGTTATGTAGAGGCAAGAAGCAGCCAACTGGTGTCTTAACTTCCTCAGACTAACAAAGTCAGTTTTACACACTATTCAGAACAGTCAGGTAAAGATCTTACTGTACAAATACTGAAAACCACAGCAATCAATCACCTCTGCCACGGCTTCTCATCCCACGACCACGGCCAATTCCAGTAGGGCACTCCCGAGCCCAGTGGCCAGTACGTCCACACTTGAAGCATTCATTGCTGCTCATGGCTGCAGATCACCTGCCTGAGGAAGACAACAGTTTTAGAACATCGTTCCTTCTCCCAACCAACCAAAGTCTACATTAAAATAAGAGTTTTAGAGGTTTCCCACCCTCTTGGCAAAGGCAATGAAAACCAAGCAGGATTCTGGCTCAGTGCCTTCTTGTACAATACCTGATCATGACTATTAAAACCACTGTAGGAGATAAGAGTTTGTCTCTGCTTTGCTTGGAGTAAGACAACTCTGAACAGCCAAAGCAGCAATGTACTATGCATTTTTTCCTCTTATTAGTTCTTGTAGACAGTCTGCTTCAACTACTTACAAAATGCTTAGGAGTGGGGAAAAAAAGCAGACCCCTTCAGCTATTGTCTAACCAACCTTACCGTTATTCTCTCTCAGTAACACACCTTCTTCCTTATTCAGAGTTAAACTCAAAATCGCTACAAGTTACTTCTTCCTGGTAGTTGTTACGCATTCTCTTGAAGCGTCTGGCTGGCAACTACATTTATTGACTAATCAAACTTCATTCTGGAAGCTAATTGTGAAGAACAAGCAGTATTATACTTAAAGCCTTAAAGAGCATATTTGCTTAACGTTTGAGGACTTAAGTTCTTTTATGACCTAAATAGCAGCTTAACTCGGCAAAACAAGACTTGCAGCTTCTATCTGTTAACCTATAGCTGAGAATGCATACTTCACTCCCAGGTTTACATGAAAGATGATGTTTAAGACATTTGGCTTCCCTGAAAGACAGCAGACACTGGCCAGATATCTAGAAGGCTAACTTGGAAAACATCCTTAGAATGCTAGGGAAACGTCAGATGGGAATGCCTGTCCGAGACAGTATAAACCACTACTTTTGCCCATATTGGGGAACAGAGGTATGCGTTTTATTGAGCAAAAAGTCAGCCTGCCACAGGCCACTGAAGCACTGGTTAGGATGGGGTAGGTTAAACAGACTTGCAGTCACAGTACCATAACTCCCCTAAGCTGTAAAACAGTTACACAAGACTTCTAGAAATAAAAGAACAAGGAAGTTAAACATTTAAATTGGAGTCTTTTTAAAAGTGTGCTTGAAGACAAGTTTAAAGTACACTAGTTTAAAAATACACATCAAGTTTTGTTTTGATGAAATCTCCTGAAGTTTAAATACTTCACATGCTCTCTCCCTATTCATTATTCTTAACACAACATAAGTAGAACCATTATCTGGTATGTTTGGTCAGTTTACCTGATCCCCCATCAAGATAATCCTCCTATAACCCTACAATTTGTGTTACATAATGCTTCCCTCCCCTCCAAAACGTCCAGCATTCCACATTACCAGGAACATTTGTGAGTTGTGTCTTGAAGAAATCCACTAAAGAAGCAACAAGAACAACACACTACTTCAAGAAGGAACCAGAATTAGCATCCTGACATTTAGCTCTTAAATGGGAGAGTGTGTATCTAAACATGAATTTTCATTTAGTTATTTTTGAAGTACTCTAATGTTGAACAAATTTACTGTGGCTTTTTAGCTACTCTTCTCTCCTTTCTCTCCATCTTCAGCACAGAAGTGACCATAAATCCTTCCAACCACCACTGAAGCCTGAGAATTCACAGTACAAGAGAAATAAGTATTCTGCTTCTGTAATCCCACATCTACCTTCCAGCTGGACCAGATGATGGTATTTGCTCTTAAAAGTTCTGCAATTAAAGGATGGAAGAAGATCTTAAACAGATGTTAACAAGAATAAAACAACTGGTTGTCTGATCACTTAAGAGATATACTTGGATTTTACAGATAACCCAGTCTTCTCTGCTTCATCTCAGTGTTCAGGACCTCAAACTATCTTATTAGGACACCCAAGGGTAAAGAGCTGTCTACTACGGTGGCAGCAGCTGGCACTCATTGTGCCATTGTTTATGCCTGTTTTCATAGCAACCATGTTGACACTGCAGAACAGGAAAAACACAAAGCAAAGCCAACTGCAGGAGCTGGGCGCAGGCACAATAGTTGACACCGCTTTTAATTTCCAAAGAGGGTCTCCAAATTCTATACCAAGTTATATTCTTCACTCAACTTGCAACTCTCCTATACAAAATCTTCACTTTTAAAACATTACAGAACAGCAACACAAGACCTGTTAAAAAGAGCAAATTAGTATGCCAAGAGCTGTAACTAAACTGCAGTACATCTTTACAGATACTAACAACTACCAGACTTTCATCCCAAACCATGAATTTGAGACTACAGCACCATGTGACAGGATTGAATATTGGCAACAGGTGCCCAAACAACCTAACCAGTTAGGTTAACATATAGGAAAAGACGAAGACTCAAGAGGCAAGTTATACCTGCTTTAGGTACATACTAGAAAAGCTTTAATACAGGCTGACAGATTGATTTTAGTATCTGGTCTGTCAATCTGCCAGTCTGGATCTGCATGATGGACAAAATCCCACTGCTAACTGCCCGAAAGGAATCCTAAAGGCAAGTTTTACATCTGATTCAAAGTCGCTTCCTTTTTAACTGCTCCTTCAGGAGGAAAATCTGAAGTTTCTTTTCCTCTGGTATATATAAGCAAATCGTCTAAATAAGATTATGCAAACCAAGCAAAAAATGTGAAGTCAAACAGCAGTCTCTGCACAACTATCCTTCAAGACTATTTGAAATTCATTTAAAAAACTTTATCTTCAGAGGCCTGTTTTCCCCTGAACTCAGAGATAGCTGAAGGTTACAGCTGCCATAGAAGTACAATTACAAAGCATGCTGCTCCATCTTCAGATACCTTAAGTATATGAAAGTACTGGTTTGCCTGGAATTTCTCTTCAGCAGTATTTTAATGTTTAACTTCTGCATTCTTCCTGTAAAGGATCTGAAACTGAATACAAGTTCACCAGCCAGAGGCAAACACAACTGACAATAGTTTTACTTACCCTATATTCTAAGAAGCCTTACACAGGACAAAATTCCCCAACAGTGTTAACTGTTTTAAAAACCAATATAAGGGTTTAGTTTTCAGATAAAGCCAACAACCACCTTTAAGGAGCATTATCCAGAAAAGGCTGGTTCAGAAGACAAGTCCTTAAATGGACAGCCCCACAAGCAGTTTGAACACCATTATATTTTTCAGTTACTTGTAAGAGAAAAAAAAAAAAAGAAGCAAAAAACACCCAAGTTCAAATTCTCATATTAGTCAATACTCCTCCATTTTGTCACCACAAGCAAGTTTCCAGTAGTTTCTTTTTATCTATCAAGGCCACCTTAAGAAGGCTACTTGTTTAAGTCTTCTTGGAAAGTTTTCACTCAGTCACATCTATCAGTGTTTTCTGCAGCTGAAATGTGTTATACAAAGCAGCTCCCCCCTCCCCCGCAGCCTTTACTTCCCAGAACTAGATTTTTACCTCACCAGGACAAGAAAAAGCAATAATGGAAAACAAATTACATCTGTGGTCTCATCCGGTATTTCTGAGCCAGGTCCAATTCTGCAAGATATACTATGCCACTGCCTCAGAATAGATTCCAAAACTTGTGAAGAAATGCAAGTCTAGTCGCCTCAAATCCTACCTTTCTACTGAAGGTAGCCATTTACCTGAACTCCTTCTACAGAACTCTGTAACTGTAGTCTGAAGCTGAAGTAAATCATCTTGCACCTATTCAGCAAAACATTATTAAGAATGAATTTTAGACTTTGCTCTGTATGATTGGTCTACTGCTAGAGATCACAGGCTGAGAATAGCTCAAAGATCCAAGCAAGAGGTACCACCACAGCAGTTTCCTAGGTCAGATCTGAAGCTTTTGAATGCAACTTTAGAACCAAGCTCCAAAATGACAAAGTTTCTTTGGGATTCATCTAGTGATATGAGAAACTGAAGTTTCTTCTATCAAACTTCGAAGTGGAAGATCATGTCTTTCTGTGGCTTTACAGTTAATAAATATTCAACTCTAAGATGGGAGAGATGCTATTAATCCCCAGTCTTCACACACAAGAATCAACAACATCCAAGTCTGTTTTAGTAACCCATCTAGACCTGATGATGAAAAGAACTACCTAATGCTCCTTATTTTACGTTTTTAAGTCTAGACGCTCTCTGAGGAAGAAGCTTGTTTTAACAAACAACTAACTTGGGCTCCTCACTGTAGAACGGAAGCTGAACACCTCTAAAATTACTCAAAATTCTTCTGTATACTAGCAGCTTCTTAGAATTCAACAGCGGCTATTATCTTCATTATACTTACCAGCTGCTTCTTTTGATCTACCAGTATCACTTCCATTCAATATTAATAGGACTTCACTCCTTCAATCAAAGGACAGACTAGATAAAAACTAGTGCTAGAGCCAGCATACTTAAGGGCTCTTTGGCAAGTCAGTTATATCAAAAAGAAATGTTGAGAAACCAGCAGTTTCCTCCCAGTCTGTTGGTGACCAACTTACAATACCACCACATCTGAATTTGAAAAGCCACCCTGAACATGGCAAAAACCTTATGTAACAGGAAGCACAGCTTTGCTTTCCGGTAAGATAAAGAAATGGAAAGGCAGGAAGCACTGACTGCTAACAGAAATACTAGCAGTTTGATTCAAAAGAAAAGTGAAAATATTACTCCTTTAAAGAGAAATGCTACCCTCAAACAGTTTTTATTTCTCTAAAGTATATTTGCAGAATTCCTGAACACAGGACACATGACTGTCAGCAAAGCTACTCAGTATTCAGCTGGTTGAACTTCCACATCTGTAACCTGAAAACATGCTACAGAGAGTTAGTGATGATTCTGTCTCCGGATTTTGTCCTCACTAGAAAAGACACAAAATGAAGTACTCTGACCACCACGGAACAACACCCCAATTCTGAAAGGATGTAGCTTGAAGCGTGAAGAAAACCTGCAGAAGTGGAAAGCCAAGCCCTACCCTCCATTTGGGTCCCCTCAACACATCCTACAGCCCAGTTGACCCAAGAATGCTGAACATTAACTAAAACTCAAGAACTTGGATCCCTACTGTGAGGCCAGAAGCCAGGTCAAAGCGACATCGTAACTCCAGTTAAGACTAGCAATTCTTGGCTAGTTTTGCTGACCCAAATCAGGGGAGCAAAAGTTCATCAAAAAAGTGTCTCTGTAGCACTTTACATCTATCCATACCAGTTCATAGAGAGGGAGAAACTACAGATTATCAAATATTCATTCTACCATTTTTCCCTTTTATTTTTTTATTGCTACCTGTACTAAGTTTTAAACTTTCAGAAGTAAACAGCATCAGCAACATTCTAAGTTTTTAATGTGAAGTTCTGTCCAGATATTAACAAAGTCAGTTTTAAAAAAGGGTAGGTTAAGCCTGTAAAACACAAGGTTGCTGCACAGCCCTGGTGAACCTCTTCATTTTGAAGACAGATGCAGGATGGCTTCTCTAGGCAAGTTTTGAGTTGAGGAAGAAATCATGGACTAGGCAATCCTAAACGCTGCATGGCAACAAGCTCCTATTAAGCGCTGAAAGGAGAATAAAACCCACTATTAAGTTTAATAATTCCTTCTGACAATTCTGGATACTAAATGAGTAACAGTGGTTACTTGAGAACTACATCTGACAGGAACTTAAATAAAAGGCTGCTCCACTAGTCCGTGATCTGTGGATGTCACAGGCTATTTTTCCTATCCATTTATAGGTCACATTTGGATTTGGAGCAGGCCACCATCCATGCCTGTGGTCGGAGACAAATAGTTGCAACACCTCGACCCTCTTGTCTCCGGCAGCCTCACACGTGGGGAGCCACGTGGTGCGCCCAGGCCCAGGCCCCGCCGCCACCGCTCCGCCAGCCTCCCCACTCAGCCGCGGCCAAGAGGAGTTTAGCAATTTTTTTATTTAAAAAAAAAAAAGAAAAAGAAAAACAAACAATTTTATTTCAGCCACCTTCCACCCAGCGCCCGGTCTCACAGGATCTTCTCCTACCCAAACTTGCTGCGGCCGCTCACCCACGGAGAAGTTAGTCACACACCCCA